ATATTAATCAAAAAGGCGAACATAAATTTGCCTTTTCGGGGAAAATCTATATAGATTTTATACTTTCAGACATCATTCGGCTCATACAGATGGACGGACATATAAAAATTTCTAGAACGAGGCGTCTTGCCATGCTGTTCAAGAATACATATGTACATTCTTTATGAAAACCATGTTCCGTGTTATTTTAAATCATCGGCAGATGGTGGGTACAACGGAATAAATTACACCAGACCCTAGAGCCCGACAGAATTGTGAAAAGAATGATGGTTCAAACAGAGGCTGAAAAAATACTGATGTTTCAATTGAAATCAGGGTTTTTTGTTTTAATGTGCACCCAATGCGTCTCAGTATATGTCTGTTTGTGGGCAAGTGTGCAGTACGGAGTTGAGCCAAAGCAGTAACAACAACAACAGCCGCGGGCAGAGCTTAGGTATATTTTTATGGCTGTAACTTTCTTAAAAATTGACTTATAAAGATAAGCATATGGACACATAATTACTAACTGGAGGTATTTAGAAATATAATTGAAAAACTCGAGTAATTACGGAAGTTATGGAAAATCACTAAGGGGAGGGAGGATGGAGAAAACACATTTTCTGTGTATTCATATAAGGCATCTAGGGATAGAATTTGGTGACTTTAGATTCTGAGATCCAAGTGTTGATACGGACTGACAGACAGGCAGGGCTTGTCTTTTCGTGCTGGTTATATATACATTGTGGGGTCTGCCACGCCTTCTTTACTCTTTACATTTTATGTACAGGGTATAAAAATGGCATTACCATATATATTTTTAATTATTTTATTTAAATAACAAAATGAAGAAATTGCATGGAAAATTCCGACCCGACCATTTAAAAAAAATGAAATTACATTTGAATTATTTGCTGTAATATTAAATCTTATGCATTATTTCAACCTTTAGGTTACAAGTTTCGGACGATGGCTTTTTTGAGAATTTTGGATCATTGTTGCGGCAGAGGTCGCAATTGGAAGAAAATGTATTGAAAACAACGCTCGCACCATTCCAGAATGAGGAAGAAGAAGATGGCACCGACAATGTCGAAAACAGTGAATTGGGGGAGATAACTATAGGAAGTGACTGTAGTAGTATTGAGTTTTTTAGCGAACCAACTGTTCAAAATGAAGCATCTGCAGAACGCGAAAAGGAGCAACTTTTTGAGAAATCGATTGGTATGAATGTAAGTATATCAGTATCATTTCAAAATACACATCTTCTGCGTTTTCCTATAAGGCATCTGGGACTAAAATTTGGTGTCCCTAGGTCTTGTAGTCTCCGAGATTTGTATATGCGATTATACGAATGGAAAATCGGGAAAACACCCATTGGGGGAAGTGGGGAAGGAGGGAAGGAGAAAATCAAAAAAATAAAACAAACTCGTATAGCGTACACACATAAAGCGTTTTTGTGCAAAATTTGGACATGCCTTATGAGTGTACTCTGTGCAAGTTTGTTTTATTTTTATACCCTTTTTATACCCTGTACCCGTAGGGTAAAAAGGGTATATTAGGTTTGTGCAAAGTATGTAACATACAGAAGGAAGCATCTCCGACCCCATAAAGTATATATATTCTTGATCAGCATGACGAGAGAAATCGATCTAAACATGTCCGTCCGTCTGTCCGTCCGTCTGGATGAACGCAAGGATCTCAGAAACTATAAAAGCTGGAATAACCAAAGTTGGCATCCAGATTCTCCTAGGTCCGAGTAAGGACGAGTTTATTTTATTTTTTGGAATTTTCCCCCCCTTCCCCCGCTACAGAATTTCGTCAATAGCGTCCACATTTCAAATGCTACCTAAACCAAACTTTGCACACATAATTTATATATAATTGTCTATTGTTGTTCAATTCAATTTTATTCAATTCGGTCAATTCTAAGAAAAGTTATTAGCAAAACAAATTTTCGCCAGTACAACCCCCCAAACTGCAGCAACAAGATCGCTCTTCTTCTTCCTCTTTTTGCTGCTGCTATGGGCGCATATAACTCAGTGACGCAAGTTTACATGGGTACAGGGTATTACACTGTCGGGCTTGCTCGACTGTAGCGTTCTCTCTTGTTTCTACCACCTTTTGGGTAGTGAAAGGGTATACTAGTTTTGTGAATGTATGTAGCAGACAGAAGAAGGCGTGGCAGACCCCCAAAATTAATGCATGAACATGTCTCCGGTTTTGTATATATGTATTGAATAATTTGTATTTAATTTAATTAAATAATTTAATTAATATAAATTTAAAAAAAAAAAGTTTATTTTTATACCCTATACCCAAAGGGTAAAAGGGTATATTAGTTTTGTGCGAGTGTACATGGAATACACAGAAGGAGGCGTGGCAGACCCCACAAAGTATATATATTCATGATCAGGATAACAACCCGAGTCGATATAGCCATGTCCGTCTGTCTGTCTCTCTGTATGAACGCAAGGATCTCAGAAAGTATAAGAGCTAGATAACAAAACTTGGTATCTAGATTCCCTTAAGACCGAGAAAGTACAAGTTTGAGTGTTTTTTCGATGCATCCCCCACTCCCCCGCAATTTGTATTTTTCCCATAATTCCCGTAATTTTTGGAATTTTATAATCAGATTTGGCAAATACCTTCAGTTAGTGATTATGAGTCCGATGAGCGCCGAAGCTCTGCCCGTAGCTGTTGTTCTTAATGCTGCTTTGATATATTTATGTACTGCATACATACACGCATATAAATACGCCTAGACACGATGATGTAAATGTATGCTGTTGAAACTGTACATAAACATGTCTTCTATGTATGTATTAAATAAATTAATTCATTTTTTTTTTTAATAATTTTTTTTCAATTTTTCTTTTTTGTGGAGAGTACAGGCTATTTTACTGTCGGGCTTGCTCCACTGTAGCGTTCTCCCTTGTTTTTATATAATTATCTTCTTTTGTTTCATCTAAATGGGTTAATTCTAATAAAAGTTATTAGCGAAACAATTTCACGCCGGTACTACGCCCACAGGCTGCAGCATCAAGTTCGCTCTTCTTCTTCTTCCTCTTTTTATACTCTGTACCCGTAGGGTTAAAAGGGTATATTAGGTTTGTGCAAAGTATGTAACATGCAGAAGGAAGCATCTCCGACCCCATAAAGTATATATATTCTGAATCAGCATGACGAGAGAAATCGATCTAGACATGTCCGTCCGTCCGTCTGTCCGTCTGGATGAACGCAAGGATCTCAGAAACTATAAAAGCTAGAATAGCCAAAGTTGGTATCCAGATTCTCCTAGGTCCGAGATAGGACGAGTTTATTTTATTTTCTGAAATTTTTCCCACCTTCCCCCGCTACAGAATTTCGTCAATACCGTCCACATTTCTAAAGCTACCCTAACCAAACTTTGCACACATAATTTCAATATAATTATCTACTTTTGTTTTAAATTTCATTTAAATCTTAGAATTAAGAAGTTATTAGCGAAACAATTTTACTTCGGTACTACGCCCACAAGCTGCAGCATCAAGTTCGCTCTTCTTCTTCCTTTTGCTTCTGCTAGAGGCGCATATACCTCAGTGTCGGAAGTTTACCTGGGGACAGGGTATTTCACTGTCGAGATGGCTCGACTGTAGTGTTCTATCTTGTTGCTTCTGCTATGGGCGCATATAACTCAGTGACGGAAGTTTATCTGGGTACAGGGTATTTCGCTGTCGGGCTTGCTCGGCTATAGCGTTCACTGTTGTTATTATTTAATTTAATTAATCAATTAAATTTTTTTAAATATTTTTTTTTAATTTATATTTTTTGTGGAGAGTACAGGGTATTTTACTGCCGGGCTTGCTCGACTGTAGCATTCTCTCTTGCTAATTTTTGAAAACTTCCGGCTTTGACTACTTAAATCGATGAATTCTTAAGAAATAAATTGTTGGTTTTCTTTACTAATGTTTGTAAAAGAAAAAAATATCCTATTTTGCCCTGCCTTTACTTTGCTTGCATACCAAATACCGAGCAGAAGGTCTGGCACTGGTTTGTGCGACTTAAAAAAGCTTAATTGCTGTGTGCTGGTTTGCTTGCCAAACATTATGCCCGTTAATCTTTAAACAGCTAGTATGTCTGTGCTTACGCTAGCTTTGGGTCACTGAAGCCTGTATGCCCTTGCAAATATTCGTGTGTCGTTTTTAATAAAGAATACATACGGTATACGGTATAAAATAATGACTTCTCAAAACCCAAATCCGCACAAACAAACATATTTTTAACACAGGTTTGGCCATATCTCGTAACACTAAGAGTATATGGTTATTGATGTGTAAGTAAATGTGTACATAAGCAGTCCGTTGATTAAAATCAAGAAACGCAGCATAAAAATCAATTTTTTGCAGATACATGTATACATACAAGTATGTACTATTATCTATGTATACTAGTACACAAATGTAGCCATGTATCGTGTACGTATGTATATGTATCGCCTGTTTTGTTTACACTGTTGAAACCTAAAATGAAAACCATAAGTTGAGTTTTATATTAATAAAGTGTAAAAGCAATTTTAAATTTAAGATCCGAATATAAACAAAAAAATAAACATTATAAAAGATTATAAATGTACATATTTACACACGAGTTGTATAGGTGTGTACGTTGTGTGTATTTTTGTACATACAAACACACTACTTTTTCGTTATTGTTCTTAATGTACTCTAAAAAACGATTTTTTCATTAACAGTTTGAGCTTTTTCTATCGTTTCTAAAAATAAACTACAGTATATACGGTACTCTCGTTCTTCAACCCATGAAATGATGCGGATGCTGCTTATGCATATACACTTAGAGTACGAAAAGAAATTGAACTCATACGCATTTAAATTGGCTCACGGTCAACGTTAAGATATTTCAAATGTCGCGAATTAAAATAATTAAAAACCACGTTTCTAAGTGACTGTAGGCGTACAAATGTTTGAAGATCCGATATAATATTTGTGATACTATTTTTTGATTACGTGTTTTGTTCAAACGTATTTGTAAATGATAAATTTGTTACTTTCTATGTTATTCATTCGTAAATCAAATCTGTAGCGTGTGTGTGGGTGCATGGGGAAGGTAGAGACTTAAATAATAACGGCAGCCACAAATCAACCATCAGATCAACAAATTTTTACTTTTTACCCAATAAGTTTCTTATCGCTGCCGCAAATTCTCTCAAATCTCAATATGCAAAATAGAGTCGATCCAAATGCCAAATATCTGAGTTTAAATCGCACTGCAGGCCATGAACTACGCGCTATAAAAAAGAGGCCTTCCACTTTGTCGCTAAACGAAACGGTAGATCGGCGTAAACGCATACTAAATAGAAATGGCAGTATTTCAAGTCAGTACTTTCGTGGCGTCCACAAGAATTTACTCGAGTCTCACGCCAAAGCGATTTGTCACTCAATGACAGTAAGTTCATTCACAATTAATACACTTGTATGTACATATGTATAAACTATATAAACACATGGATTTATTTTGTAATTTTAGCCTGTACTCAAAGGGTGAAAGGCTATACTAGTTATACTCTGTACATGAAATGTACAGAAGTATATTAGGTTTGCGGGAGCTGAAAAATGTAACAGACAGAAGGAGGCGTGGCAGACCCCACAAAGTATATATATTCTTGATCAGCATGACGAGACGAGTCGATCTAGCCCTGTCTGTCTGTCCGTCCGTATGAACACCTGGATCTCAGAGACTATAAGAGATAGAGACACCAAATTTTGCACGAAGATGCGTTATGTGTGTATTCTATACGAGTTTGTTTTATTTTTTTTAATTTCCCCCCCATACTTCCTCCCTATGGGGGTTTTCCCGATTTTCCATTCGTATAATCGCCTATATCTCGGAGACTATAAGACCTAGGAACACCAAATTTTAGTCCCAGATGCCTTATGTGAATACGCAGAAAATGTATATTTTGGAATTTCCCTCCCTCCCCCCTCTCCCCCGCAAATCGCAATTTTCTCCAACTCCCGTAATTCTTGGAATTTCGAACTATTTGGAAATACCCCCAGTTGGTTATTATGTGTCTGTGTGCCAAGTTTCACTATGATAGACCAATTTAACAAGAAGCTATAGCCATAAATATATTTGCTGCTGCAGCGCTGCCCGCGGCTGTTGATGCTGGTGCTTTGGTTGACTGCACATATGTTTACACAGACACGAATAGATGCGAATAGGCATACATACACTCACACAGACACAATTGCTATGTAAATGTGCAATTATACACCCTTTACGTGAGTCCGAATACCGAGAGAGGTAAAATCGAAAATTTGTTTTTTTTTCTTAATTTTTTTTATTTTCTATAATTATTGTAAACATATGTACAGAGTATTTGAAAGTCGAGACACCCGACTTTAGCTTTTTAACTTGTTTTTATTTAAAAGATTAATGCGATTTTAGCAACTGATACGTATTTGTATTAATTAGTTAGAGGTATTTATATTGGATGCTGTGTTCATACACAGCGTCATCCCTGGGGTTGGAAAAAATGACTTGGTTTTTATACCCCGTAGGGTAAAAAGGGTATATTAGGCTTGTGCGAAGTATGTAACATGCAGAAGGAAGCATCTCCGACCCTATAAAGTATATATATTCTGAATCAGCGTGACGAGAGAAATCGATCTAGACATGTCCGTCCGTCCGTCTGTCTGGATGAACGCAAGGATCTCAGAAACTATGAAAGCTATAATAACCAAAGTTGGTATCCAGATTCTCCTAGGTCCGAGAAAGGATGAGTTTATTTTATTTTTTGGTATTCCTCCTCTTCTATTCTCTCTTGTTATCTTTACTAGTGGTCCGCCACGGCTTCGCACGGTTAGCTTGTTGGTTTTGAGTTCACATTTACAGTTGATACCCATCGTTGCCAGTGATGGTCTCCGCTGTCAATTTTCGCTAGAAACTGCCGTGATTCTGGTGTTTCGCCAAAGAGCAAAGAATGCAATGGCTCTGGTGGCGGAACCAATAATGGCAATTTCACTTTGCCATTAAGGCATCACATTTCAGGCGTTTCTCCAGTAAACTTTAATGCCGCACAATGCACGCAAGTCACGTCCATTAGACCAATGCAAACGAAAAGATGCGAGGTGTAGTCAATTGTGAAATCGTATGAAATCGCGGCACGATTTAAATCAATAGTTGAAATATTTCTTCTTGCGCGTCGAAGACTATCTCGGAGTAGATCGGTGAGATTAGTTCTACGATTTCTCCTTTCGAATCTAGCCGTTTACCGGACTGCCTCTCTTTGCTCTTGTTTTTGATAACAACGGCTCTGTTGGAAAAGATTAGATCTTCTTGGACGCGGCATTATTAATAATAATATTTACACATCAAAATAAATCACAGATATTAATTAAATAAATTACACTTTTGCTACATGAATATTTAAGCAATACACTGACTCTGACTTATTGACAGAAAAATCTGGAACGTTATATTTGTTCATTTGTCATCTACTGACAAATTCAGAATTTTCATACGAACTTTGGACTTTGTTTTTCCCCTTTTAGAATTCGAATTCCAATGTTTTTAATAGTTTTTGTAAGTTTGCCCTTCATCGGCACTCTGTGCGTCTGGCTAATGCCACATACCGAAACATAACGGAAAGAGTTTTGGCAGCCGAAAGAGAGTATAGTCTCACTACAGCCTCGATATTAATAAAAGCCTTGATAGAGACTGCTATAGTCAATTAGATGGTCTTAAAGGTTATATGGATATAATTGCGGTGTTTTCCCTATTTTTTTAAACCAAGTTTATTTATGTATTACGGCGACAAAAAGGACAACTTAACAAGTAAAAAAGCTAAAGTCGGGAGTCCCGACTTTGAAATACTCTGTACATATGGTTACAATAATTATAGAAAATAAAAAAATTAAGAAAATAAAAAAAAAATTGATCGATTTTACCTCTCTCGGTATTCGAACTCACGTAAAGGGTTTATAATTGCACATTTACATAGCAATTGCGTCTGTGTGAGTGTATGTATGCCTATTCCCATCTATTCATGTCTGTGTAAGCATTTTCGCAGTCAACCAAACAGCAACATCAACAACAGCCGCGGGCAGCGCTTGAGCAGCGCTGCAGCAGCAAATATATTTATGGCTATAACTTCTCGTTAAATCGGTCTATCATAGTGATAGCATACGGACACATAATAACCAACTGGGGGTATTTCCAAAATTTTAGTTCGAAATTCCAAGAATTACGGGAGTTGGAGAAAATTGCGATTTGCGGGGAAGAGGGGGGAGGGAGGGAAATTCCAAAATATACATTTTCTGCGTATTCACATAAGGCATCTGGGACAAAAATTTGGTGTTCCTAGGTCTTATAGTCTCCCAGATATAGGCGATTATACGAATGGAAAATCGGGAAAACCCCCATAGGGGGGAAGTGGGGGGGGAAATCAAAAAAATAAAACAAACTCATATAGAATACACACATAACGCATCTTCGTGCAAAATTTGGTGTCTCTATCTCTTATAGTTTTTGAGATCCAGGTGTTCATACGGACGGACAGACAAGGCTAGATCGACTCGTCTCGTCATGCTGATCAAGAATATATATACTTTGTGGGGTCTGCTACGCCTCCTTCTGCCTGTTACATTTTTCAGCTCCCGCAAACCTAATATACTTCTGTACATTTCATGTACAGAGTATAAAAACGTAGAAAACAAACAAAAGTTTAGTTATTTTCGGGATCCAAGCCAAGTGTGATCAATGTATAGTAATAATGCCTATGTATATATATCTATACTAATATTATAAAGAGGAAAGATTTTATTGTTTGTTTGAATTGAAAAGGCTCCGAATCTACTGGACCAATTGAATGGATTTTTTACCTGTTGGGAAGCTACACTATCGACGGTTAACATGTGCTATATTATATTGCAAAAAAGAATAGATAAAACGCCAATAATGTAACTAAAGGTGTAAAATAATTACCTTTAAAAATTCCTGAAGAGCATGCTGTTAGTTCATAATCATCCTCGAAACATTGTCACTTTAAATATTAAGGCAATATTATTCAAAAGCCCCCAGCCAAATAAAACATTACAAATGTGCAATGGGACGAGGATGCACATATGAAATATTTTACTGTATGTTGATCTATCATGGACCGGAGCTCCTGAAAATCAATTTATTTTGCTGCCACAAAATAAAACATCAAATATCTTTTACAGAGAACATCTGATCTAATAAAGAATAACAAAAAATCTAAAAACAAACAAAAAAAACATAAAAATAATAATATCTAAAATAAATTTTTCTCCTTTGTAACTCAAAGCAAAAAGAAGGGTGTATGTGTGTTAAAATTTTTGTAAAAATACCCGTGAGAAGCAGCGGCAGGACACTAGTGTAATATATATATGTAAGAGGCCTAAGATGAACCAAAATATAATTGAATTACGTAAATGTCTAAAAGGGCCTTATAAGATATTAACGAAGAAAGGAAATCTCATATTAATTAATTTTAACTAAAACTAATCCGTTTTTCACAATTATGCCCGGGTTCTGAAATATTGGGTGTTGTATTTTATTCAGAAATATTAATACAATATATTTTAGTATATTTTAGTAATATCAAAAAAAAAAAGAAGCGAAGTGTGTACTTAGGATATAATTAGCACTTATAGAAAATATAGGTATTACATATTATATTATGTGCATGTATGTATTTTTATATGAATTCTTATTTTCTAGGTTGAAGACCTTTATGAAGAAATCATATTTGAAATTTGCAACAACATTGGCTCGGAAAGCAATGAAATGTGCCCCAAGAATCTTATTGAATTCAGTCAGGAAGCATTTAAAATACCAAACGTTATACACGATGAAGTTTTAAAGGTTGTTCGTCAAAAGCAACCACCTAATATAAGGTTGAACGTGGAGATTATAAAAGCTGAAAATTTGCTACCCAAAGATTCGAATGGCTTATCTGACCCATTTGTTACATTGTACTTGGAATCAAATAGTTCGCATCGGTACAATTCCTCAGTGAAACCCGCAACGTTAAATCCTATATGGGAGGAACATTTTTCATTGTAAGTCTACCGATTTCTATATGTAGGCCATAATTACTGTTGAGTATATTTTAGACCAATTGTTGACAATCCCAAAGAAGAAGTTCTTGTGGTTGAAGTTTGGTAAGTTTAATTTATTGCTAAGTAATATGCTGAAAGTGAGCTCCTTTATTTTACAATATATTTATTAACAAATAACATGCGCAGGGATTTTGATGCTGCTGAAACTGTAAAGGAGAAAGTCAACAAATTCCTTGATGTAAAAGGCGTTAAAGGCTTGAGCAAGCTAATGAAAGAAATCGCTGTAACTGCTTCATCGGGAAAACATGATAATGAACTAATAGGCCGGGCTGTAATAACACTCAAGGTAAAATAAATAAAAAGTATTTTCTTGTATTTTTGTTCCTTTTTATATCCGATCTTTTTTTTTTGTGGTGCAACCCGAACTTTAAGCTATCCTTTGCAGAGCCTAGTTTTGTAAGTACATAATAGCATCTTCAAAAAAATAAACTCGTCCTTTCTCGGATCTAGGAGAATCTGGATACCAAATTTGGTTGTTCCAGCTTTTATAGTTTCTGTACGGACGGACGGACGGACATGTCTAGATCGATTTCTCTCGTCATGCTGATTCAGAATATATATACTTTATAGGGTCGGAGATGCTTCCTTCTGCGTGTTACATACTTTGCACAAACCTAATATACCCTTTTTACCCTACAGGGTATAAAAAGAGCGAGCTTGATGCTTTAGCTCGTGGGCGTAGTCCAGAGTCAAATTGTTTCGCTAATAACTTTTCTTAAGTGATATTTGAAACAAAGATAGATATTTATGTATTCTTTACGTGTACAAAGTTTGGTTTATGTTACTTTTGAAATGTGGACAGTATTGACGAAATTCTTTAGCGGGGGAGGGGAGGGAAAATCAAAAAAATAAAAAAAACTTTTGTATCTTAGGGACAAGGTAAAGAGTATAAAAAATAAACTCGTCCATTCTTGGATTTAGGAGAATCTGGATAATTTTGAGAGTATTTTGTTATTCTAGCTCTCATACTTACTGAGACTATTGCGTTCATACAGACAGGCAGACAGACGGACATTTTCATATCGATTCGTCTTGTCATACTGATCAAGAATATATATGTACTTTATGGGGTCTGCCATGCCTCCTTCTGTGTGTTACTCACTCGCACAAAACTATCTATACGTGTCTGTGTGTGAGCATGTATGTAGTAAAGAGTTAATGCGAAGCAGCAACTACCACACCTGCGGGCAAAGCTTGGGCAGAGATTGCATTTATTAGAATAAAGAAACAAAATTGACCTGCCTAGGGCTTAAACTTGGATACTAATTCTAGCTCTTGTACATTCTGTGAACCTGCGCTCATACAGACGGGCAGGCGGACATGGCTATATCAACTCGGCTTGTCACCCTGATATATATACTTTGTAGGGTCTGCCACGCCTCCTTCTGTATGTTACATACAGATGTACATTCGTAAAAACTACTATACACTTTTAACATCTGCGTACAGGATATAAAATCGTTCTTTCAAGTCAGAGATTATTCTCTTTTATGTTTTTGGGTACTGGAGATTTCACTGTCGGGCTTGCTCAACTGTACCATTATCCCTTCTTGTATTTCACTTCTAACATATTTATTTAAATTCTATTTGAAATTCAATTAAATAACGTATAATTAATTTTAAGTCCATTCCAGTTTCTGGGCTTACCGTTTGGTATAACTTGGAAAAAGGAAACAAGACGAAAAGTCGAGGATCACTTCTAATAAATCTAACTCTCAGTGCAGAAAAAAATAAAAGTGTTGCGGTGCAGGAACATAAGCACCTACTAAAACTTTTGCTCATACATGAGCTAGAAACGTCACAAGTTGCAAATTTTTGGTGGAGTGGAAACTTTAGCGCAAATGCAGAAGCCATCCGATCCCAACACGCCGTTCAAAGCGGGCTGTCTAGCTTTGATTGTGCGCTTTGTCAATGGAATGCATATAGTATTATTCATGAAACCCACAAACTTGACTTTGCACTTTTCAACTCAATACTAGTTATTATAGTTCCAGTAATAAGGTGCTATCAAAGTAACTGTGAGGATGTGAAGACGTTCTGGGATGGAGCGAAGCGACTGCTGCCATCTTGCTTTTTAATGTTGAGAAAACTTCGATGTAAAAATGAAAGCGATAAGAATATAGTGCGAACATTAAATGTAGTTCTGGACATTCTTTCTAAATTGAAATCTCTTGAGCCTCCAGCAGAAGTTACCATATTTCCAAAATCGGTTTATGGTTGGATTGACGAAATCGGATCAGTCGATGAATACAGCATTGAATCCGTAATAATTGATGCTATAAATACTGGCACTAAAGAATGGCTGGAGCATATTATTAGCGGCAGCAGACAAACGAAGGATAATGAGACTGATGAGGATAAACTGCAATATATCATAAAATTAATTCAAATGGTGCGATCTGACCTTCAACGAGCAATGGAGTATTTCGACAAACTTTTCTACCAGTAAGTACATTTATTCCTATTACATTCTATATATGCTAGAGGGAGAATGTAGAATATATTCCCAGAAAGTGATAGGATACATCAATACAATCTATGTTCTTGATTTATGTATATATATGTATTTATTTTATCTTATGCAATAAACTCTAAAAGTATACGAGTCAAATATGAGCAGTTAAATTAGATGTGAGAATTTCTGTAATCATCCCCAAATCCCATATGTCATCTCATGAAGGAATTTGGAATACCCAACTAAATAAGTGGAAAAACTAAAGTCGAATTCCCCGACTGTGAAATACTCTGTACCTATGTGTAATTATTTAAATTTAAAAAGTTAACATAAGTGAAAAAAAAAACAAATTGTAATTTATTATTTCTTCTTTGGGATTAAATCTCGCAGATAGTGTGTAAGTCCACTTTATTAATTTCATTTGGTTTGTGTCTCTGTTTGTGTGCAGTACACATGAACATATACAATAGCCGCAGCAACAACAACAGATGTAGACAGAATGGGTCGTGTGAAAACATCCTTGTTCTAGCTCTATCACTTTTCAATATCCTTGTTAGCATTCAACCAGATGGGCGGATAGACAAACACGACCATATCGACTTACCATGCTACTGATCAACATATTACATTTTTTAGCATCTTTGCACTTTTGGTAAAGGGTATAAAATAATGGATTTACAATGGGATAATCCGATACCTGTAAATAAACAAGTAATAAAGCTAAAGTCGGGTGTCCCGACTTTGAAATACTCTGTACATATGTTTAGAATAATTATAGAAATTAAAAAAATTAAGATAATTAAAAAAAAATGTTTAACGATTTTACCCCTTTCGGTATTCGAACTCACGTAATTGCACATACTTGTATACAAAGCAATTGCGTCTATGTGAGTGTATGAATGTCTATGCGCGTCTATTCGTGTCTGTGTGAACATATTTACAGTCAACCAAAGCTCCAGCATCAACAACAGCTGCGGGCAGCGCTTGGGCAGCAAATATATTTATGGCTATAACTTCTTGTTAAATCGGTCTATCTTAGTGAAACTTGGCATACGGACGGTATTTGCAAAATTTGAGTTCGAAATTCGGTGTTTCTAGGCATGGCCGTAGCGAGGGGGGTGCAAAGCGGGCAGCTGAACCCCCCCCCCCCCCCCCTACCTATATATATATGGGCATGAAAACATTGTGTTCATATGCTCAACTTATAACTCTTATCTAGCCCTATTGGTACAAAGGTTGATTTTGGGCAATGGGACAAACGGGGCTTTTTGCGGCCAGCACTTCGCTGATTTTATCGAAACATCAGGCAATATATATTAATGCGACTAAGTTTCAGTTCTGAAATATCGAAACAAAATGATTTTAGATTTCTTTATCTGCCATAACTTTATTTTGATAACTGCTCCGACCCCAGATATGGCTCCCATTCCATGTTAGCTTGTAAAAAAAATTCTATTCAAATGAGAAGCATACGAATTCTTATTAGAAAATTAACTTTATAGTATCAAGCTATACATTGATTTTAAAACTGAGAGCAGCACCCATTAGAAAAATTACATATTTTTCTCTCCTTTTGCACCTCTCTTTTTATTTTTTTTTTGCCGCCGGTATTATTCACCTAGATTTCAATAATTTTAAAGTATATAAAAATTATCATTATAAAAATTTATCATTTATGTAAAAAAACATAATTTCAAATTGTTAAAATTTACACTCTCGATGTCGCACGAGACCAACTTTATATTAGTTCCACGATCACAAATCTTCTTATTTTTTAGCAAGTTTACTTACAATTTTTTTTTCAAATTTTCATTATTTTTAATTTTATTTTTTCCTATTTTTCCATATTTTTCATGTGTTTTTTGTATAGTGCAAATAATTTGATAGTAAAAGATCGACCAAAAAAATCTTTCGCCTTATTATACTTTGTACATGAAACGTACAAGAATATATAATATGACAAAACGCGTCGATCTATGTGTATGAACACCAGTTTCTCAGACACTATACAAGCTAGAGATACGAAATTTTGCACATACATAGATGCCTTATTTGTGTATGCAGCTCAAGTTTGTATAATTTTTTTATTTCTTCCCCCACTCCCCCGAAAATAAGAATTTTCTGTAACACCGTTCGTATAATTACCTATATCTTAGAAGCTATAAGACCAAGGGACACAAAATTTTAGTCCATTATATGAATAAACAGAAAATGTGTAAAAATAAATTTCCTCTCTCCCCCCACTCCCCCGACATTAATGATTTTTCATAACTACCGTAATTCTTGGAATTTTTGGCTTAAATACCAGTTAGTTACACAGTCTATTGAAATTCTTTTTCTTTTTTCATTTCTATAATTATTCTACACATATATACAAAGTATTCCAAAGTCGGGATACCCGAATTTAGCTTTTCCTTGCTTTTGTAATGCTGTGGTCGTGCTACTGTGGAAATTGGGCCTTAGAGAAAGAGGACTTTTTGACATCTTGAGTAAATAAATAAATTTGTATGTATAACTTTATTTTAGCAAAATTCGGTTAAATTACTCAGCCATATTATTTATGTGCTATGACAAAAAACTAACGGAAATTTCAAAGTCAACACTGCAAATCGTTTGTGGAAACATACAAAAATTAGATGTGCCAGATGATCAGTTTCAGTATTTACCAAATACTGATAACGTACAAATGGGAACTACGCTCTTTGAAGTATATTTGGTGCTCAAACGATATGTCGCACTAGGTAAGAAATCAACTTATTTACATATACATAAATGAGTATATTCGTACGTATGTAATTAGATGTTCATTTTTAATAGCATATTTTTCCTCGTAGGAGAATCACTCTGCTCTAACGAAAAATTGGAAATGACTGAATATTATCAGTGGTTTGAAAAAGGTGTAACCCATTGGCTGGATATCTCAATTATTAAGGCTCTTAATCGCATACAAAAAGCAATCGACTTAGACCAGCTCAAAGCTGTTGACGAGACAGTTAAATATAGTTCGTCAGCAGTAGATACTTTGGCTATTTTTTATCAAATTAAAATCTTTTGGCAGCAATTGGATTGGCCTGAAGTGGAAGGAGCATATACATTCGTTGCGAAAATTGTTAACGTATGTATTTCAAGGTGTTGAAGATGCACATTGCTGTCAAAATTCTATCTTTTTCGTAGGATATTTGCCGTTGCTGTATATTCTATGCTCAGAGGATGTCACGGCGAGTCGAAGATATAACTAAGGTCGGAGATAGCTGTGAGCTATTTAATGTTTCAGAGGAGTGGTGTTTGGCTATAAACAATATCGATTACATAAGGCAGAGTCTTCCATCGTTTATAAAGGTAACAGTTAAAAAATGACTAACGAATGTTTGAAATTGTACAATTTTTTATTAGGAGCTCGGTACAGAGGATATTATAAAACGATTGGGTGAATATCGAACCATTTTAGAAGCGGATCGCTGCGCTTCTACTATCAACACTGTTATTGAAAATGCATTGGATATACAGCGCAATCAGATTGTCGAGCTGGTCGAAATTGTTGCCGGCAAAATGGCCCCGCCAATTCGACGGTTTTTAGCTGAGGGCGCAGAAATTCTCCATAAAGACTCTAACTCCATGGACAAGCTAATGATGTATTTAGAAGGGTCATTAGGTACTCTTTACAGAACTTTAAACGATGTTAATTTCGGCAGAATATTGGATGGAATTTGGAGTGAATTGTCCAAAATTATGTATGACCTCATACAAAGTAACCTTGATGTAAGTAATGTGGTTAAATACATACATATAATCTAAGGCAGCGGTGGGCACGTAGTGGCTCTTTGGGCTCCCAGGGCTCTTTCCGTTATGTTTTGGTAACTGGCGACAGCCAGACGCACAAGCAAAGTACCGATCTCGAGCAAACTTACAATAACAAAATACACGCAATGTTGTCGCCAGCCAGACGCACAAGTAGATCGATGCAATAACAAAATACACACAGTGTGTGTACTGATGATCGATTTGCAATACCCGCTGACGGTCACTTATGCACTGACATTCAAAGTGTATTGACAAATTATAAATTATAGTGTTTCAGTAAAACTTTTATGATTGTCGTCAAGTTATTTACTTATAATCTTACTTATATTTGATTTAAAACTGAACAATGGCTAATGAAATTAATATTTCCAAGATTGAGACGCGGTATTTAAATATATTAAATATATTAAAAATGTTTATAGGAATAAATTAAGTGACATAAATTTATCAGATTTATTACGAATTGCTTTAAGTGAAGAGGAAATAGACTTCGAAAAATTATTAAATGAATGTTCATAAATGTGATAAAAATTTTTTTCGGTGTACTTTTTTTTCCTAATTTTTTGCTCGCAGTTTATGATGTTCTTATAACCCAAACGGTAGTTTTTGTTGTAGATGTTGTTGTAGGACTCCCAAACTAAAATTTCGTGCCCACCGCTGATCTAAGGCATACATTTATGAACGTATTTGTTTACAGAAACGTCGTCCACCTGCTTTCTTTCAAAACTTAAGAGCTACTTTACAAACTATGATATCGTGCTTTAAAATAGGAAGAATTGTCACATCGGATGTGAAAGTTCTCTCAGCCATCGAAAAAATTCTGGATTTGCATGCTTTCGAAACTTCCGATCTTATCCATCAGTATTATTTGGAGAGATTAGGGGCCCAAAAAGAACTACAGAAATCGCAATACGGACAGCTTACAATAACGGCACAGTTTGGAGAGGGAAGATTAAAGGTACGCTGACCCTAATTTAAACAATTTAAATAGTACATCATTGGCTTAAACTTTTAGCTACAAATATTAAACGCTCGTAATTTGGTACCGATGGACACAAATGGATCTTGTGACTCTTTTGTAAAAGCCCAGTTTTTGCCAACGACTCGTTTTAACGGTGTTTTACCAGTAAAAACATCTGTCAAAAATAAAACACGTTTTCCGCTATATGACGAGCAATTTTCTATGTAAGTTCATGCTCTGCTCTGTCTGTCGCTACAAATATTCATACTTACAAAGCCATGCACATAGTATGTACTTTCAATTAATTTTGTGTAATCCATTTTACAAAATGCCCTACCTAGAACTTTGAGTGAAGAACAACTTTCGAAGCAAAACAGCATAATTTTGTTTAGCATCAAGGACAAAGACCTATTTGGGATGACTAGTCAATATATAGCTGAATGTTATGTAACATTTGCCGATCTAATGGCTTTTGAAAATGAACAAATTCATATGGAATTATCAAGGCCAGATTATACAGGTACTTTATAAAAACTTCGGTTTCGAAAATATATATTATAGAAATATCTATATTTCAGATTCTGAGACATTACGCGCCCTAGAATACAGACAAGGTGATAAACAGGCCAAGGAATTCATAAAGAAACTAAGAAACAAATCGTATTCTTAAGCTTTAAAATGATCTTTGTAAATTATTATTTTAATATAAGAAATACATTTTTTTTTATCAAATTCATTCAAAGTGTATACTATGTAACGTTGTTACTCTGCCGCGGGTATGCTCGCCGGCCAGAGTATGCTGAAATAAATTAGTAAATTAGGCACCCCAAAGTGCCGAGGTGTCCAACAAATAAAAGAGGGCGGTATGCCAAAACTTCTCCACGTGTTTTATTACAAATAATCCAAAATGCAGCCCGTGCTTCAGTGCGTGTTGGGCGGGACCAAAAGAAGAACTAACTAAAACGAACTTAAAATTACCCGCCTTCATGGCTTACTATTCTTACAATTACTTATTAACTTACAACTACTTGGCATCGTAATGACGCGCGGCTGCCCGCTACGCAACGCGTCATTACACGTCCCCCCTTCCTGAGCGGGGACGATCCGGTTGGCGGGGGTGTATTGATGTTGTGACAGCTGTTTTGTTAGCGCTGCCACCTCTTACTCTCGCGGTCCGCCAGTGCTACCCATGCCTGGCGATCTATCGTCGGTGTTACCACTCGCATACTTATGCGATAGTGGCCGGTGTTGCCACTTATCGAATCCGATCGAGGGGATTCGATAACACATTATTGACGGCCACCTGCCGCTCTGGCAACTCGTCATCACCGCCCACATGTTTATGTCGTGATTGGCTTCCGGTCTTGGGCTATTTTCCTGCGTTGTGCCCAACCTCCTCCTTGTTGTGTTCGTCCAGCTGCCCGCCCGGCACTTGCCCATCCGCTGCGCCCCTGGCATTTTTGGCGCTGTTTGTGTATCTCGGCTGATGTGGTAATTTACGTCGCTTCATCAGGCCTGAAACGTAACAACAAGCTTCGTCTAATTATGTTTTAGGCTTACATGGGCATCTTCTTCGGCCAGAACGGCAGCTTTGCCGTTCCCGCTTGGGTGGACGCCGGTTGGATTGCTGTCGCTGCTGTCGGTGTGGCCGCTAGGGCCCTGGTTGCTGTTGCTGCTGTCGTGGCTGTCGTGACCGTGGCTGCTGTCGTCGTGCTCGTTGATATGGCCGATTTTGTTGCCCGGACTGCCGCTGTGGCTGCTTTTGTTGACGCTGAGGAGTGGCCTGCTGTGGCTGCTGTGAAGCTGTCGGTGGCGTGGCCCTGGTGACCATACTAACGCTGCCTCTGTCGTCGCTGCCTTCGTCGGCTTCGCTGTCTTCTGCGTTCACCGCTTTTAGATCTCGCACATGTGCCGTTCTACCTCTGCCGCCCGCTACTGGTCGCACACGCACTATAACTGGGGATATGAATGCTCGCACCGTGAATGGTCCATCGAAGCGAGGCGCCAGCTTGGCCGCAAACTGCTCGGCTGCGTTGGACAGGTGATGTTGTCGCACGAGCACCTCGTCGCCCAGTTTGGGTCGCCACTCGCGTCTCCGCAGATTGTACTGGCGTGCCTGATCCTCGCTGGCCACCCCTTGGTTTCTTCTTGCTATGCGGGCAACAAACTGTAGCAGCGTCGCGTGTGTTTCTGGGCTACCTGGTGCTGCCTCAGGGGCGTCAGGATCCCTGCCGTACAGTGTGTGTGGATGCCGTGGTTCTCTCCCAAATAGGATGAAAGCCGGTGAGTAGCCCGTTGCGTCTGAAATTGCTGTATTAATGGCCAATTGTGCTTCCGGCAGTTGTTCGTCCCACGTGTTGTGCTGCCCGTCCGCCAGCTGAGCAATCAATGTTTTGACCGTTCTATTGGTCCGCTCAGTGGGATTCTCCTGAGGTGTGTATGGTGCCGTCAGTTGTTGCTGTATGCCTGCCTCGGCGAGGAACTGCTTCAGCGCGCGGCTCGTAAACTGGGCTCCGTTGTCTGTAATGAGCTTTCTTGGTGTGCCAAACCGTGCCAGAATCCGCTCTCGCAAGGCCAGCTTCACTGCCGCTGCCGTCGCCTTGCGGATGGGGACCAGTTCTGCCCATTTACTGAACTTATCGACCAGGACCAGTAGATACGCGTTGCCTCGTTTGGACCGCGGCAGCGGCCCCACAAAATCGGCGCAGACGACGTCCCACGCTGCCTCCGCTGGTTTGAAGTGCATCTTGCCTGCCGTCAGCTGTTGCTGGGCTTTATAGCGTTGGCACAACAGGCACTGGTGCACATACTTCGCTACGTCGCGATACAGACCAGGCCAGTGGTATCGGTCTGCAACGCGTGCACAGGTTCGGCGTACTCCCATATGGCCCGCCGTTGCGTCGTCGTGGCATTCTCTCAACACCTCCTGTCGTAGAGGCGCGGCCACGCATAGCCTCCATGGTGACACCTCATCTTCTCCTAGCACGTGAGCGATGCGGCGGTACAGCCTGTCGTTCTGTATGGCGTAATCTGGGTACTTGCTGGGACTCTCCAACACCGCTGCCGTCAGCCGCTGTAACCATTTACAAGTCGGTGCTGCCTCTAACTCCACGTGTGCACCGCCGATCACCTCGCGTGGTTGTCGTGACAGTGCGTCGGCCACCACATTCAAGGCTCCTTTTCGGTACTGGACATCGAAGGTGTACTGCTGCAGCTCCAAAGCCCAGCGTGCGATGCGGCCGGTGGGGCTCTCAATCGAGTTGAGCCAACGCAACGCCAAGTGATCGGTCACGACAGTAAAATGGTAGCCTTCCAAATAGTGTCGCAGTTTCCGGATTCCCCAAACAATTGCGAGGCACTCCTTCTCCGTGGCGCTGTAGTTGACCTCCGCTTTCTGCACCTTCCTACTGGCGTAGGAAATTACGTGTTCGTGGCCGTCTATGTCTTGCGTCAGAACCGCGCCCAGCCCATACTCGCTGGCGTCCGTCTGTAGGCAGAAAGGTCGAGAGAAATCGGGGCACGCCAACACCGGAGCTTCCATCAGCTGCTTCTGGATACACTGGAATGCCTCCTGCTGCTGCTTTCCCCATCTCCACTTGTGGCCCTTCTTCAACAGTTCGGTAAGGGGCCCAACCGTTGTGGCGAAATTTGGTACGAAGCGTCGATACCACGAGGCCATTCCAATGTACTGCCGCAATTGTTTCAGATTTGACGGCGGCTTCAGCTCGTGGATGGCTGCTACCTTCTCCGGATCCGTTTGGATGCCCGCCTCCGTCACTAGATGCCCCAGGTACCTAATGGATTTACGAAAGAATTCGCACTTATCTCGATTTATTCGCAGATTGGCCGCCCGCAGTCGCCGGAACACCTCGCGCAAGTTGCTCAAGTGTTCCTCGAACGTCCTGCCGACCACCACTATGTCGTCGAGGTATGCAAACGCGTGCGGTGCCATGTCCGGGCCGATGACACTGTCCAACGCCCTCTGGAATGTAGCGGGCGCAGAATGCAGGCCGAACGGCATCACACGCCACTGGAACAGCCCGCGTCCTGGCACCGTGAACGCTGTATATCGTTGGCTTTCGCGCTCCATCGGAATCTGCCAGTACCCATTCCGCAAATCGATGCTACTTATGTATTTGGCCTGGCGCAGCTGCTCCAAAATGTGCTGGATCCGCGGAATTGGGTACGCATCTGGTTCTGAGCGTTCGTTCAGCTGCCGATAGTCGATGCACATCCTCCAGGCGCCTGTCTTCTTGCGCACCAACACGATGGGTGCGCTGTAGGCACTGTCGGATTGCTCGATGCAGCCCTTTGCCAGCAACTCGTCGACTTCTTGATTGATCACTGCCTGCATGGCCGGGTTCCGGGGGTAGTACCGCTGTTTGATGGGACGCTCGTCTTTCATCCGGATTGTGTGCACCGCCGCCGACGAGACTCCTGTGATGCTCTCAAAGCTTGCCAGTTCCCCCTCGAGGAACCTGGCGGCCGTCTGGGTCTGCTGCTCCGTCAGGTGGGCGGCTATAGTGAGCCCCGCCTGTTCGCTTGTCACCAAGGCTGCATGTCGGGCTCTGCGATTTCGCCTCCGCCGTCTGCGTGGCCGTGGATCGTTCGTTCGCAATTCTACAGTTTGGCCGCCCACAGTCACCGCCCCGTTGGCCATTTGGACATAATCCAGTCCCAATGTGAGCTCATCTATGCATCCGGGGAGTGTGAGCAGCGGCAGTACTACGCGACTGTCGCCCACCGTGACCGTCGCCTTCGTTTCTTCACGGACCGTCTTCTGTGTCCCGTCAGCCATGGACACAGTCACGCTCACGGACCGTACATTTCCTCCGTCTGGCGCCCGCAGGCGTTGCGCCAGCCTCGGACTCGCGAAGCTGCGTGTCGCTCCGGTGTCCACGACCGCCTCTACCAGTACACCATCACAGTCTACTGGTAGCGCGGCCGCTACCCTGCGTGTCGTTGTTAATTGGAATTTGCCTGCATGGGCTCGCCGACTGTTGATGTGGGACGAGCCCACCTGGCGTTTCCCGTCGCGCGTCGGCAGCATTCGTTCGCACGCACCCCCATCTTACCACAGTCCCAACAGTAGAGCTGTTGAGAGTTTGGGCACGCGTCCATACTGTGCCCTCCCATCCCGCAACGTCTGCAGATGGGTGGGCGACGATGCGTGTCCGCTGGGCCAACCGCCACCGGCTGTGGGATCGGCGTAGGGTGTGTGGCGTTCGTCTCATCATTGCCGGCCGCCTGTGACCGTGCTAAGATTGCTTGGTGCACGCCCTGTGCCGCCTGTACGTACCCATCGAGTGAGCTCACTTCTTCGCCTGCCAGGCGGAGATTGGCGCGTATTTCTGGTAGCCCGTTGGCGTGGACAAGTCTCAGGTGCTCCTCTGCAGTCATCTCCGCGCCGCGCATCAGTCGTTGCATCGCTCGGACATACTCGATAGGGCCCTCTGATGCGCCCTGGACCCGGCTGTATGCTTCCCGCCGGCCCTCTTCTATGTGGGGACCCGCTGTATATTCTTTTAGTAGGTCTTGGCGGAACTCGGCCCACCGTTGTACCAAATTGCGCCTTGACCACTCCCACTCCTTCGCCTCGCCAACCAGGACTTCCGGTAACACGGTCACCAACTCATCTAATCGCACGTTCTTCATCTCTGCCTTATCTTCCAGAACCCGGAGGAACGTTCTTGGGTCCCCGCTGCCGTCAAATCGGACGCCCCACTGGGCTACCTG